GTTGTTACGCTTTGAAGAGGTAATTTATGGGCGTATCGCCGGGTGTGGTAAATTACGGGCGAAAGGGTTTCATGGCATGACATGCTGGACCTCAAAATTGGTGGCCAAAGCTGTGGCTTATAGTTGGCACACGAAGTGGCATGCTCTTATAATCCCTTACAAACCCCTATTATACACCCTATACACCCTATACACCCTATAATATCTCCTCAACCCTATCCTATAGGTATAGAACCACCCAAGGTCAAGGTTCCAAGATTGGGCTAAGGGTCCAAGTGCAGTTTGGGGGTGTTAGGGTCCAGGATTTGGGATTTGACACTGCAAGTAATTCCAACTTTGAACAAACCCTATAAACCCTAATGGTCAACCGGGATCTCCGGGTAGCCTTTGGCTATACGCCATCTTCATCCTAAATATAACCCCAATATATACCATATAACCCCTACCCTGAAACCTTTCGAAAAGGGTCCTTCAACCTATCTCCTCAACCCTATCGTAAATCCCTTTGGAAAAGCCCCTTCAACCTATCCCAGGGCATTTCATCCAAACAAAATTTTGTTATAACGGAACGGGGAGTCACCTTGAGGGGTTTCTTATATAGAGTATTTATAGCAGCTATATAGGTGTTATTTAAATTTTGTTTGGATGTAGAATCCCTTCCGCCTCTGATTTTGCCGGGCCACGAGCACCGTGGCTGCTCTTGCAGAGGCCGAATGCCGGGTTTCCAATCAGTTGGGGTCATACTTCCTATTCTGAATTTAAGGGGTAGATACACCTTTCTGGGATTGCTGCCGAATTTTCAGAATTCTGAAATATCAACATAGGATAGTTTGGGGCCCCACATGGCAGCTATTTCAAAATGCACCGTCACTACCTTTTTGGAGGTACAAAGTACACTTCAGGATCTCCGACAATTCGAGGGTTATTTATAGTTATTTCAGGGTACCTTCTATTAAGATTCCGTGATGTGCTCTTCGCACAAGGAGACTAAAGTTGCAGTTGCAATCTTATGTAGACACACCCTATTATAAAGTAAATCCAAGTAACTTCGGGAGATACCAGAAACCACTTGGCTACTATGGTGATTTTGAAACACTTTGAACATTTAGAGTGTTCGAAGTCTAGGCTAGGAAACCCATCCTGTCGGCAAGCGCTGCCTGATATCGGCGTAGCACTCTACTGTGAGGGAGTCTAGGGGACACTCGCCTTGATAGGCGAGCGATGTTGCCAATGAAATCCTCGCACTGACTAGTGGAGTTGCAGATCGGATTGTATACACGCTCCACATCCTCTTTCTGTGCGTCTAGGCGAAGCTGACACACAACGTGATCAAAGTAGTGGCATTTAGGAGTCAGATTGTAGAGCAATTTTGTGTTTTGCAAAGCGTACTCTGCTAGCTTGCTGTAGCAGAGCAGAAATCGTTTCCCATCATTTGCAGCCCCCAAAGCAGAACTCAGAGACATGAAGGCTTCCTCCTCAAACAAAGTGCGCATGCAGCGGTGAACAGCTTTAGCTCCCTCGTAAATGTACTTGTAAGGTCGCTGTTTCGTATCTGTACCCAGCGTATCCAGCAGCCAGGGCAGGAATTCCATGAGAACAACAGAATCTTGCCCCTTGTTCCAGGAACCTGAAGCATAAACGTTCGGGGTGGCAGCGCCAATCATGTCAAGCGTAAGTTTTGCAGCATGCAAGGTGTGCTTCGTGGCTTTCAAGAAAATCCGTAGATGTCTGTTGATCTCCTGCAAGTTCTCGTCATTGGTTTTTTTTCCCCGGCAAAGCCAAACAAAGACAAAGGGACGACGCAGCGTACTCTTTGTAGACGCCCATATTCAAGGTATGAAAAAGGTCGATTTTCAGGAAGCTGTGCGCATCTGGCGCATGGGGAATGTTTCTCAACAAGCTGGGCATTGATGTCCACGGTAACGGATTGTTCTCGCCTGCCGTCGCTAACCATGCCGGCCTTTCAACACCAAAATCTTCAAAGGCCACTTCAGATGTGCCAGCTAGGCACCAAGAGCAACAGCCAACCAGGTCCTTGGACTTGGCAGTCGCAGCCCGCTTTCTCACGTGCGCAAAACTGCGTGTGAGAGATGCGGCCTTCGATTGAAAGACCAAATCCCCCTTGAGCCCCAGCGGTAAAAACCTCCATAGCTGCCCATCAAGCAGGAGCCCGTCCTTATACAGGCTTCCAAACCAGTCCGAAACATGGCCAAGCAAATCAAGAAGCGGCGTCGCATCCTCCATGTAAAATTTCTTACGCAGGACCGAAATAAGGAATCTGGTTGAAAGTGAATGTCCACAGAGATTCACTTGGCCTGGTGTCACATCCGCGCCCAGCTGGCGCTTCTGGCGCCGCGAGTGCGAAAGTTGTGTACCTTTGCCTATACACGACTGCCACTGCAGAATCATGATCTCTGCTTTCTTGAACGTTCTACCTCCATCCCCATGAAGATTAATGGGGATAAGGTAGGACGGGTCCACGCGACCACTCTGAATGTCATCCACAATTGGGTGGTCTGGCTCGGAGATCATGAAGTGATGCCAAAAGTCCGCAAGAACAGGCTCACCTCATGGTTGGCAGATCGAAGAATCGTTGAATGAATGAAACGAAAACTTTCTACATAAGAAACGAACAAAGCATGTTATTGAAGAACAGTGACAGGACTCAACAGGGGTCCCGATTAGTTCAGAGAGTTTTCCATGTCTTGCTAGAGCTCCGATAAGGTCACCAGGTTTGAAGCAGGGGTGGCTCTTCAGTACACCTGTACCCAAATTCAGATACGTCCATGGGATATTCACGATAAGCTCCGTTTGTACCAATGCTTTGTAGACCGTATCCTCCTCATGATTCGCACTTGCATTAGCAATCTTCAGCCCAGCTTGGCACAGCATATCACCGTCACTGCGTGAGGCTTGCGCACGCAGCACCAGATCCTTCGCCGGGACCTGGGCCCAACCAATCTTAGATTAAGGGATGACACGATTTTAGTGGGTGGTTTGTATATAGGGGTGCTTAAGAGTATAGGGGGACTTTCATTCTGGGAAATTAATGCGCTGAAGTGTACTAGGCTCTTGAGTGGATTTCTATGGCGTCCATTGGGTTTCTTAATTGTACAGGTTCGTTCATAACATCTATAGGGCCGGTAGAAGTGTACATGATCTTAGGTATCATGGGGTTGACAATTGCCATAAATTGCGCTAACACGGGTATCATGCAGGGCTTCTATATAAGGCTGTTCCACGTAGGAAAAGAAGTTCATTCGGG